TGGGGAAGAGTGGTCCAAGAAGATGAAATAGCAGGCACAAAGGCCTGGGGGCAGGAGAAAGTTGGCTCCATGGGGGCGTCTCCAAAACTGGAACTAGAGTCTGACAGCTAATGCTCAGTCAGTTTTTGCTGAATAAACAGTGAATTATCAGACCTAGGCTACTGAAACATTGAGAGCAAGCAGGAGGGAGGTAAGAGATGGGCAGAGACCAAGTCACAAAGGAAATTTCAGGTCATGGGTGAGGTGTCTGAATTAACCAATCAACGTTACCAATCTGCTCTGCTCTTCTCTCATCCCCACAGCCTTCCCACCCTAGCCTAAACCCTGAAATGAATGAAGTAGCTGTTCTCAAAGTGTGGCCCCTAGACCATCATATCATTTGACATCTATATTCTTAATGTGACAAGAGCCATGCTTTCATCCATGAATTCATTATTAATGAATGTGTAAATTATAACAATTATTCATTGACTAGAGGCCCAGTGCATGAAAATTCATGCACTGGAGGGGATGTCCCTCAGTCCGTCCTGTCCCCTCTCACAGTCCGGGAGCCCTCAAGAATGGGAGGCGACCCAGCGATCAGGGGAAGGTGACGCCCCATCACACCTCTGCTGCTGCCACTGCTGGCAGCGCAAGCCTCAGCCGGCCCTGGTTACCTGAGCCTTGGGTAGCCCTGGGCGGCTGGGCAGCCACCATCCGAGGCTAGCCTGCACCTAGGGCCAGCCCTAGGTGGCTGGGGGGCTGAGGGCGGGTCCAGCTGCACCATGGGCCTGCTCCCCTCCACCCCCTCCGGCGGGGATGAAAGGACTGGGGGACTCCAGCAGGGTTGAGGGGACTGGGCACCGCCATCTTGTGGCTATGTGTGCCACCATCTTTGTGATGGTGTGACGGTCAATTTGCATATTCCCCTTTATTAGATAGGATTGCTATGACAACTTGTTTAAAAGGCAGCTGCTTGTTCAGTCATATCTAATCAAAAGCAGCCCCGCCTTTCTGGGAAAGGCTTCCTAGTGGCAAAGAGAAGAGGTTGTCCCCTGAAAAGTTACAGGGTGGCTGATCCCAAATTCCTGGAATGCAGTAACTTCTAAAGCAAACACAGTGTCGTTACGCAGGATAAATAGGTTCAAACGAAGCTGAGGAATTCCAAACAAAGATGAGAGCAAAGGAAAAAAGGAATCAATTTATTTACACTTTGTACAGTAGTTTCAAATAAACTTGTAGAAAAGATGGTATCTGGCAGCCCCATGTTGCCTTGAATTGAATTTAAACTTTCCCTCATCATTTTATATATTACTTTTTATGAGTTATTTAGGACCCACTAACTTTTGGGGCACTCTGTTTGAGTGTTAAAATCCACACAGAAAGAAAAAAAGAAAGAAAGAAAGAAAGAAA